AACAAAAATGGCACAAAACACGCTCAAAAAAAACAAAAACAAAAAATGAAAGCGAAGACGGGAAGTGGAACGCCTCGAGGTATGCTACAAAAAACATGACACACAAAGAACGGTAGGAAGGAGGCGGTTAGGAGGTTAGCAGGTTACGTAGGGAAAGCAGGGAAAGCCAGGGGCGGGCGGGAAGCATACGAAATATACGAGCAAATTACGAATTTTTAATCACACGTCGCGCTCGTTATATAAGCAGGAATACGAGTAGTATCAGGCTCCCTGCCAAACCGAAAAAAAAAAACCAACAGAAATCAAATAAAATAAATATGCAAAGCGTCGTCTCGCTGGGAGCTCAGCTCTCTCTCCCCATCGGATCTTGTCCTGTCCTGCTCCTCTCACCCTTCTTGGCGCTCTCTTTGAGTAGGTCGTCTATGTTCAGACACGCAACCAGAAGCAGCAGCAGCAGCACCAACAAAAAAAAAGTGGAGGAAATGTGTGGAAATGTTAAAGGCAAATGAAACTAACTGAGGAAGTGGAGATGTACATACGTAGAGGAAAGGGAAAGGGAAAAGGAAAAGGAGAAGGGCGAGAGGACAAAGTGTGAGTGTGTGTGTGTGTGTGTGTGTGCCAACGAGAGATAGGACAGCCGGGACAGCCAGGCATTTCCTACAAAACGCCGAGCAGCATTTTGTCCAGTCACGAAAAGTTTCGTCTAAGGAAAAACAAAACACAAAAAAAAAACAAAGTCAAATGTTCCGACTAATTGATACCCAGCACACAGCAGATTTAGACAAAATGGAAGCAAATAAGTGGCAATGAAATCTTTAATTTCTGGTTGCCATAATAATAATTATTATTGTAAATCATCAGCTCAAAATGAGTTTCCATACATGGATAGTCTCGGAAATCCTAGATGGGATCCCTTGTGCCTGTTACCATTCGAATACAGCATACCCTTGAGCCATACGAGTACTGGGTGGGCATACACCGGGCATAGCTGTGGCAGCAGAGGCGAGTTCAGGTTAGCAAGAACCACTCGAGTCGACAAAGTCTCAAGTTGAATGAAGAACTCACGCAACATACACATGTAGCAAGAGGGAGGGGAGAGAGACAAGAGAGAGAGAGAGAGGTGAGAGTAGAGTCCTACAGAAATATGTTAGGCTCTGGGAGGAATTTCTCGTTGTTTTTCTTGATGCTATTTGCAATGTTTTACCATTTCAGTTAGAGCTACGAATTTGCGCATTTGAAAATGGAAATTTATGACTGCAAATCGAGACACTGGCAATGTGTTGATGGAAATAAATGAATGATGAATATCTTGAAAATAGTTCAAATGTAACACATTCATTTCAATGTTGACACCTGGAATTTAGTAATTGAAAAGATGGAAACATTTTTCATTTCTTTTCTTTTTCTTTCCCTTAGCCCTCATTAAAGTGTTCTGAAATTCTCTGTATATTTACCATAAATTCAGGACAGAAAATGGAACAGAAGACATTACTGTCTGCCTGCCAAATGGAAGTTTCCATTCAGCTCGTAAGACCCGTAATTATTATGTCAGCTAACTGAAAGTTAATAAACCACTCATTGTCATGAAAATAAATGCCAAAAATAAACGAAATGAACCAAAAAGGGGGCATATGGCAAAATCAATAATAAATACATAAACGGGCCCAAACAAATGATTCAGACAAGAAGATGGGGCATGCATGGCGGGGCACGGAATACCCTTCTACTCGTACAATGCTCATGGTAGGGGAACATACTGGTAAGAGGTATGGATCCATGGCATAAAATACACTCAAAAAATAGCAGAGTATATTTTCAATTAAAATTGAAAATGTATAGCAGATCTGGTGTAATTTTGTCCCAAAGTAATGGCTCTACAATATTTATACATTTCGAGTATTTCCCTCATCTTCAGAGCAGGGTATGCGCATTGAAATTTATCAGACTCATCATAATCGTTGGATTGCGTGGATAGCCCAATCACAATCCCAGCACCAACCCCAAAGCGAGGATAATAAGCCAGCAATTAGTGTCACCGATAGACTTGCTGAGGCCTCAAACAGACACAGCCCAAAGCCGAGGCCCCGCCATTTAAAGCAATTTAGCTGAGGATATCCCCAGAAGGAGAATAGAGCTGAAGAGAAAGTGCAAAAAAAAAAGGTTAAACGAGGCATTCTCTCAGTCACACAGACAGACGCACACACATATATAATATCCTGCGAGTAAATCCTTTTTTGCTGCTGGCTGAAATTGAAAAAAAGGGAGTGAAGGAGTGAAGGACTGGAGGAAAAGTGGCGAGGACAAATCGCAATTTCAGTTTTATTAATATTTTTCTATTTGCCTATGGAAAACTACTGAATGGTCCTTTATCAAGTGCCACCCCCCACCCGCTCTCCACACCATCCGCTCTCTCCTCTCTGAGTCCACAATCGTTTCAATGGCTGTAGGAAGGCGGAAACTTTCTTAATACAAGATACTTAAAGGACACAGCCACACACACACACACACACACACAGAGATAGAGAGGGAGAAAGAGAGAAGAAAAGTCCGACATTCAATTGCCACCTTTTGCCTGAAGGATTTTCCATCTCTGTGTGTGTGTGTGTGTGTGTGCGTGTGTATCTATGTGAGTCCTGCCCAACTCAAACTGAAAGTCTTAAGTGAATTAGGAGAGGAAACTGGCAACATTCCCAAGACAGTCCTACCACTGCCCATGCCCATGCTCCTGCCCCTGCACCTGCACCAGTCCCTGCACCGTCCTTCCACCTCAAGGTTCTTCACTTAATGAGCTCTTGAAGCGTTCAAGTTTGAGCTCCGTAAATATATAGATGAACAAAAAAAGGATTATTTCATATCACTGCCCACTGCCCAGCCACCTCCCTCCCTCCCGCCTTTTAATGATCATTCCTCCTGACTGGACACCTGTGCCTGTTCGCTGGTCCCAATCCCCCGCTCAAAGATTGATTGTTATATAGAAAAGGCTCGGCTTTGGCCACTTAATGATTGCCAGCCGAAAGAAAATACCAAAAAAGAATTGTGTGGATGGTGTCAGGTCAGGATGGCGCTTGGACTGTTACACGGACTGGGGACTGAGGACTGGGGCGGCACCCACACCTTGATATAGCATAAAACAATTATCGGAATTTCCTACTTCCACTTTTATTTCTTTTTGGGTTGGGTTTGGACATGGGCTGGGGCTGAGACTGGGACTGGGCCTAGGGGGCTTAGTTTATGTTGCTCGTAATTAAAGTTGTGGGAAGTGGCAATGGAGCTCGGGGCACATCAAATCGATATTTGAAAAGGAGAGCCCAGAGCCCCCTCACAACTCGTACAACTAGTGAAGGTTAGACAGGTGAAAGGAACAGGAGTCTACAAATATTCCAATTGAATGTGGCTCTGGTTGCCAATGGGATTTTAATTCAGGATTCCTTCAGCTATCAGAGTGTAAGTCAGTTTAATAAAATGCCCTCCTCTTAATTTCTATTCTTTTGATTATTTTGACGATTAGATTCCACCATTCCATCACATCATCAAGGATACTCCCAGCCAGATGATACCCACCGGACTTGACCTACAAAATGATCAAATTTTTTTTGTTGCTCACAAAATATTCGTGTGAGAAATTAATTGACTAAAGAACACATTCGTGGCTGACACATTGCCTGGGACCTGGGCCAAGTACGTAATAACTACATATTTAATGGGTTATTTCACAGTCAGTCCCCCCGAACGACAGAAGAATGAAGCAGTGGCAAGTGCTGGCAGAACATTTCCATTCACGGCTGACATTTAATTAAAATTGGCGCCTAATTAATTGCCGAAATATAGGAGCGCACGGTCTGACAGGACATTACGGGGCGTATGAGTGATGTTTGAATTTGGAGCAGCTTTTCCCTAATTGAAAATGAAAATTTGATTTTTGGCATTTCTGTGGTCGGACATTTTATAATTGTGAATATTTCCATGATTCTACGGCTAACATTTTGCAGCAATTATTATTCTGACTATTATTATTCACCGCCCAAAAAAATGCAGCATATTTTGTTTCCCCTTTTCCGTTCGCTGCCTAAATTTTTTCCCTCCATAATTAATGGCTGAGCTTTTAATTGAAGCTGAGTTATGGTTATTACGGGTGTAAGTGGCGCGGGGGACGCTACGGTGGATGGGGCCAAAATTTATGCAAATTAAGACTGCACCGAGGGCGGCCACAATTAAAGGGAAATCGCAGCGAGAGGAAAAAGCAAAAAAAAAAGAGAATGAAAACGCTCTAATTGAAGTGCGTTTGAAGGGGGCAAGTGCTGGAACACCGCTTGAGATATCGCAAGGAGTGGGTACAAGTGTCCTTGAAGGTGTAGGATGTTTTTGCGAGATTGATTTTTGGGTACGCTTGGGAAACAAAATCAGATGAAAATATAATGTAGATTCCCTAGATTCAGGTACTGTTTATTTTTGAATATTTTGCGTTGGAGCACTTTATGAAATGGAAAAGGGAATTCTTTTATTTAAGCATTCATTTAATTAAGTCCCAGGCACTTTGTGCTAACAAAAAATGTATAGAGAACAAAATTTAAAGCAATCTTGAAGAGACACACTATAGATTCATTTCTCGCCGAACTAAAGAATTATGTTATAAATTTCCCTTTATGGATTGAAAAAAATTCCAGAAGGTTCCACAGATTCTTCTTCTAAGAGACGTTCTAGAAGGTTCATTGTCCCAAAGGACTCCGACTCGCGCTCTCTATTTAGAGAAAGTTTAAGAATTCTTTTGACAATACTCAAAAAATTGATTGACACAAGAAACGATTGTAAAACTTTTCCATAGCAATCTTTAGAGAGCTCACGCATTCACTTTTATCTCGCATTGAAGCTACGGCACAATGAATGGTGGCATCAATTATATATGCCTCACATCAACTCCATTCAAGCACTTTCAGAGCAGCTCTTATCGGAGATTCCCCTGTTTTTTTGTTTTCATTTTTGGGATGTACACGTATGCTCACCTGTCTGGAATTCTAAGGATTCATTAATGTTGCCTCTTGCTGCGCTTGTTCGGGTGTGTCCGACGTATCCTGAGCCGCTGTTTGCTAGAGGCTTCTATTGAATTGATTATGACAGGACCGGACGCGTGTCCTGTCCGCAACAGTGTTGTCCGGGTCCTGCTGCAGCCGTCCCGCTGTCAGGCTTCCTGCAACAGTCAGCTGCTGCTGCTGCCGCTGCCGCTCCTGCTGCTGCTTGTGGCATGCAAAAAGTTTTCCCTTTGCACTGCGGATGTGTTCCTTGTTTTCACGCACTCTTCCCCTCTATCTCTGTCTCACTCTCTCTGTCCAGCACTGTTTCTGCTGCTTCTTCTTCTTAGTCTCTTTCTTCTTCTTTCTCTTCTCTGTCTGTCAGTTTATGCGCTTCCTGCCTTTGCCTGCCGCCCGCCGCCGCGTTGTGGCGAGAGTGAAAGTATTTTTTGTTGTCTCTTTTTTTGTTGTATTTTATCGTGGTGAATTTCGCCTCGGAGAAGCGTAGCTCGCTCTCCAAGCTCGCTCTCTTTGGATGACACTCTCCCTCGCTCTCTTTCCCGCTGTCTCTCAAAGAGCTAGAAACATTTTCTGGTTGAGTAAATTTTTGAACTATTTTTGTTTCCTACGATTTATTGTGGGTTCTTCTTTTTAAATGATTACGGATTACTTTTAACTGATATTTTTCTGGGTTTTTTTTGCACTCAATTTTTAAGCTCCCTTTTGCCAGCATTCCCAGCAGCAACAACAACTTTGTTATGGTGCTTTTGTGTAAGTGGTGGGGGAGTACGCGGAAGTGGGAGTGGGGGTGGGTGAGACTTGGGACCGTTAGCTGATTTAGCTGTTTTCTAGTTTCCGCTCTCCGGTGTTCCACTCTCCCACGCCTGCCTCTCGGCTGCTCGTCTGCTCGGCTGCGCCTATAATCTGGCAAACTTGCGTACTCCGTATTCCGTAGAGTCCGAATACCGTAACAACCGAATTCGGACTTAACCACTCCGAAACGTGTGGTACGTGGCGAATCTGACGTTTTGTGTAATTTAACCTTCTGCCCTACTCTCTCGAATGCGTCATCGGGAATCGGGAGTCCGGGAGTCGATTCGAGTTGCTTATTCCCGTATTTATTTGCTTAATATTTTATTTGGCACTTACACACACGCACGCACGCACCGCACACGCAAACGCACACTCACAGGCACACGCACAGATGTTTAATTATTTTTATATTTTTCACCACATCGAGACCATACGCCATGTTGTACGCGAGAGCCCTCCAAAGAGCCCCAAGTACTGCACAGGCAGAAGGAGCCTTGGCCAGAAGAAGCCTTCAAGGTTATTCTTATTTGCCTGGTGGCTCCCAATTTATATTCAGATTGAAATCCGTTGGGGCCCTCATCGGCTGGCCTGGTCTACGCTGTATCTACATGCTTTAGGCATGTTCCCGTAACGAAAAAAAAACGGTTCAAGCTGAAATACCGTTGCACACATTACACTCAACAACATGGAAGAGCCAGGGTTGCCTTCTCACTCTCTCCCTTTCTCTCTCTCTCTCTCCGTTAATCTTCCGCCTCAGATTGCCCATAATGGGCAATTCCGCTGGGCCAGCATTTTGGGGACACACTTGCGTTTTTTTTCGCGTTTTTTATCAAATTTTCTTTTGCAATTAATTTTAGGGTATTATTTTTTCCACAAAGCGCGACTTGTAGTCTCTCTCTCGCTCGCTCGCTCGCTCCCTGGATTTTGGCGGAGCTCCGCGTCTTGACCGTTTGACTACTTGGGAGGTTTTGCTTTCGGATTCGCCTCTGATACGGCTGAAAGCTTTTCCTTCATTTGGTAGGCTTCCACAAGGAGAGAGAGAGAGCGACGCGACGCGACGCAATGGACAGAAAGAGCAGACAGCAGAGAGAGTCCCCCGCCGAGACTGTCTGGCGACGGCCAGGCGAGCTTTGCACTCTCTTTGCACTCAAAGTTTGCGTTGTTTGGATTTTGTTGTTTTAATTCTCGGTGAGCTGTGGCCAGGGGACGGGCACTGTCGTGTGGGTGGGACTGGGACAGACTCTCGTATCCCGTGTGCTTTTTGAGGATTTCTTTCGTGTAATTGTTTTCGTTACGTTTGTTACGTTTGTTATGGGCACCAGAGCCACTGCGCGAGCCATGTGCCTCAAATGGAGACGTAATTGTGCACTGCGAGAAAAAAAGGTGTGCATCAAAATTGACATTGCATGCTGGAGGATCCAGAAAAGGTTAAACTATATGGGAGATTGCAGGATTAATACAAAAATATTCCTTTAAATATCTTGCAACCATCATAATTGTATTCATTATTCTGTTGTTTCTTATTCATGCATCATACATATTTTCCCCACTATTCGGGTTCCAAATCTAAAATCTTAAGATGATGTGCTTCTTCCGTTTACATGTCCCACTTCTGTCTCTCAGTGTAGTCATAAAAAACCAGCCAACAAACAGCAAGTAAGCCAAGCAACCCCGCACCCATCAGAAGCCTCCCCAGACAGCTTCCACACCCTGCACCATCACCCATGTGCCATGGTTCTGCAGCAGCAGGTAACGAGCCTGCCGTTAAAAGCTCTCTCCCGCTCTCTCTTGGTCTGCTGTCTCTCCCACGCAAGTGCTCCACACAGCTGGCAGAGAAACGTCAAGCTACTGTGTGTGTGTGTGTTTGTGTGACAGGAGCAGAGCGAAGGAAATCACGAGAGGAAAGTATAAGAAATAGCAGCAAAACTAAAAGAGTCTTGTCAGGTATCAGAGGACAGAGGACCTCTTTCCACAAGAGGAAGCTGTGCTTGTGTGTGTGTGTGTGTGTGTTCTATAGAGAGACCTGGCGGTGTGAGTGTGAGCACGACACGTTGTTGCATTTGCGAGCGCACAAAAGAAGGCAACTGAAAATAACGGTTTCGTTTCATTCGGCTCTCTTTTGTTCTTTGTTGCTTCTTGTTTGAAGGTTTCCTTCTCTTCGCCCTGGCTTTGAAGGGAATGTACACTGCACACGTGCTCTGGGTATACCAGTAGGTGGCAGACTCTGGGGGGAATTGTTATTGATGAGTAAAAGGCGAGAAATGGAATGGAGTGGAAGGGTGTGTGGGGGGTAAGTGAAGGCTAACTTAACTGTCGTCATGTCAGCTTCCACATCTCTCTCTCTCTCTCACTCTCTCTCCCTCCCGTTGTTAACTTTTCTAATTGAATTTTATGTTTTGACCTACAGGGTCAACGTCAACCCTGGCCTGTCTTATCAGTGTGGGGTATCTACGAGTATTTGAGTGTGTGTGTGTGTGTGTGTGTGTGTCTGGAATTATGTCATTCTGGCTGCGTCATTGTGTCTGCCTGTGGTATATTCTATTGATTATTTCTAGTTGTTTATGACGAAATGCCATTGTATTGCATTTCAAATTGCTTTCACCTCTATTCAGCATCAGCATCAGCTTCGTTTGCTTCTGCTTCTACTTCTACTTCTGCTCTTCTTCTGTTCCTCTTATTCTGCTGCGGCTGCTGCTGCTGCTGCTGCTCTTCGCTCTTGACTTGCACAACGATGACGTCATTGTTAACCCCGGAGCTTTCACTAGCGCGCGCACTCACGCCCCCTATCACACTCACCCACTCAACTCGACTTTGATGTCAACTTGTCCCTCAGCCACCCTATCCCCAGACCAGACCCAGTCGACGGTTCCCCTTGGTTTTCCGCCTCTTTGACAAACCACCTCCCCCTGTCAAGTCAAGTCAACTCAACTCATTTCCATTTCCATTTGATGCCTGATGCGGATTTTCACTGACTAGTTTCGTGAAAGTTTGTTTTTCGAGAGCTTTTCTCCCTTTCACTGTCCCAACCATCCCCCCACTCAACCCCACCGTACTGCTCCCTTGGCTCCATCTCAATTTGTTTCCCTTTGGCTTTTATTATTGCGGCAAAAGATTTATTTTTTGTCATTGAAGTGATCTAATTAAAGTTTGTGTGGACCAAAAATTATAAAAGAGGGAAAAGGAAAGGAAACCAGAAATTTGTTTTCCCGAGAAAGTGGTCCAGCACTGGGGAGGGGGTGGTGGTGGAGTAGCAGGCGCAGGGTCACGCTTATGCTGAAGGTGCAACTTGTTTTCGTTTCAGTCCCAAAGTTGTTAAAAAGCCAAAAAAAAGTAATTTATTTCAGTTTTACTGCCTCCATTTTTGGTTGGGTTTTGGGTTGAGTTTCTGTTCTATCCCTGGCAAATGTAATGAGATGTTTTGACCGGCTAACTTGGTCTTTGCTTCTAACCCCTCCTGAGCGCCCTTTCCACCATCAGTTTGAGCGCCCTGCGCTCTAGCCATTGTAGCCTTGTAGATGCTGATTTGGTTTGAAGCCTTGGCCAAGTTCTGTTGGCATCAGATGCTTGATAATCGGATTTTTCTATTCTCGCCTTTGGATTCTCTCATACTCTTTCTCCCTCGAGTATCTGTCTGATTCCTTTTGCATAGAAATGGGTTAAACTTTTCTGTTGACTTTTCCGTGGGTTAAGGGCTAATCAAAAGTTGGAAATCAGTTCTGTTTGTTTGGTAATACTTTTAATGGAATGACGAACTTCTGTGCAAGTGATTTGCTGCTGGGATCTAAACATCCCAATGCAATTAACTAAAATATTCTCTCAATTTTAATATTGGGATGTAAATTGATAATGACAAAGCTAAAGAAGGCCAACTTTTAAGAGGTATTTAAATTTAAATAGTAACAAAAAATCTATTCTACAAACTAGTAAAGTTCTGACCAGGATTTCTAAAGCATATATGTATGTACATCCAAGTAAAATATCAGATTGGCTTTGCTTTTGGTACAATTTATTTGAAGAAGAACACAATTTTACGCATTTCATTTATATATTTACAAAATTAATCGGTTTTCCTCTGGGGTTTTTTCAGTTAGCAATTTACTTCAATGTTGCATTCGAAATAGCTCTCATATTTAATATGTATACATCTATTGTGTGTAGATCCTTAGTATGTATATCGTATATGTATTCTAATTGTCGCTTCGTCTCATTTGAAGGCTTAAATGTACATAGAAATAAACTGAAATACAATTTCTTAATCATATAAAGTTATCTAACGATAATTGTTGGTAGTTGTGCACTCCACTGCCACTCGGCAATACATAGTTACAAATCGTACTTATTGCTCAGTTATAAGTATATATATATATATATATATATATATATAATGTATATAGTATTTTTGTATTTATAATACACGTACAGTGGGTAAAAAACATCTATACAAATACGAGTAAGAGTACGTTTTGTTTGTTTTGTTTTGTGTGTGTTTTTGAAGATT